TCCTCAAAATCCACTATGTAGTTGGTTGTTGAATAATGAACCAACAATTACACTTGTGTGAATTTCTGCACGGTATATCTTCACAAGACCAATGTTGCTACTGCACTCGTGCTGGCTTTGTTGTTCCTTCGAAGGTCAAGCTTCTTCAACAACTGCAAGGTCCGAACAATAGGACTTGCAAGATCAACTTGTAAGAGAGTTGACCTACCCCCTTTTAATCAATAAGTTTGATCAAAAGTAATATCCTTCAACATGGTGTGGTGCTTGAGGCATGGAAACCTTCAAGTGTTTACACTATAGCTCTTTGGAAGGAGGAGAAGTTTGCTTCTGGATAAGGAGTTTAGAAATCTCTCTTTATCAAGCTTTTTGTGCTAACTGTGAATGAGATAGCTTTTTTTTGTTAGAGATTGCTTCGTTGTGTTGTTGTATCTCCCCTTTTTTTTGGTCTTCCAAGGATGCTATTTATAGCTGGATTGGATAATCTATTCGTTGAATCATAATAGACTATCCGTTGCATTTGCTGGCTTCAATTTTGAATGAAGATTGTGATTTGAAGATTCCTCATTGGAATGGGTGTTTGGACATACCCATTTGTTAAAGGGGAGATTCCGTTTTCCATAGAGTTCGTCTTCTAGCTGCTGTTCAAGTATTCTGGACTGTAGAACTTTACTCTGTTTGTCTTCTAGTGCTTGTTTAGGAATTCCGGACAGGTTCTTCAATTCTTAGAGGTTCAGACTTTGTCTTCGAGTCATTTGTTCTTGAATCAGCATAATTATCTTCAATCTAGCCGTTGAAAATCAAGAGATTGATTTTTCCTTACCAATGGGTAGAATTTCTTCATTCAAGACTTAGATAATCTTCTAAGTCTTTTCTCACTTGTCCGCTTTTTGAGAATTCCGGTCTTCCTTGAGGCATCCGGTTCTTAACTGACAAATCCGGAGGAGTCATTCTCAGACTTCCGGGTGAGAAAGAGATCTGCACTAGTCTTCCGATTTGGGTGACTTAGCCTTCAGCGGGTTGTAGCGAGACATCCGGTTCTTATGTAGTCTTCCGGATCAGAGGATTTTCATCTGCTTGAGAGAAATCCTTACTTGTCTCTAGCATTTCCGATTAAGATATCCAATTTCCATATCACTGAATTTGATTAAGTCTTCAGGCATCAAAACGCTTAAAGAAATATCATAACCTTATTGGAAATCTCAAGAACTTGGTTTTAACAATATTTCTAAAAAGAAAAATTACATTGAATATTGGGGGAGACCTAAAGTCCCTATTACATTCTAAATACATCATCATCAAAATCTATGATATTTTTCCCAACAACTTGGATGCATCCCCGGTNGCTAGTCTTCCGATTTGGGTGACTTAGCCTTCAGCGGGTTGTAGCGAGACATCCGGTTCTTATGTAGTCTTCCGGATCAGAGGATTTTCATCTGCTTGAGAGAAATCCTTACTTGTCTCTAGCATTTCCGATTAAGATATCCAATTTCCATATCACTGAATTTGATTAAGTCTTCAGGCATCAAAACGCTTAAAGAAATATCATAACCTTATTGGAAATCTCAAGAACTTGGTTTTAACAATATTTCTAAAAAGAAAAATTACATTGAATATTGGGGGAGACCTAAAGTCCCTATTACATTCTAAATACATCATCATCAAAATCTATGATATTTTTCCCAACAACTTGGATGCATCCCCGGTCATGTGCTTGGAGCATTTGCTATCAAGGTACCAAAGTACACTTGATGCCTTCAAGCACACCTATGAAACACATCAATGAGTTTTAGGTACCCAATTTACGTTGGGTCCTCGGGTGTTAGGTGTGTGATGGTAGTGTGCTTGATTTTGTGATAGGTGCCTATGCCTAGTGTAGCAAACGGGAGCAATATGGCCTATCCTATTACAATAATGGCAAACTACATTGGGGTTGTACATATGCCTAGGTTCATAATAGTTCGAAGGCTTAACCATTTTGTTCCTATTTTGTGAAAACGATGGTTTTTGGAAATTTTGAAACTGGCCTTTTCTATGTGTTCTAGCATTATTTCTTCTAATTTGAGAAAATTCATTTTTATGCACAAAATCATTTTTCTTAGGTTGTCTACCATGACCATTTTCATTCCTAGGTTTTAGTCTAGGTTGTCTAGTGTCCTTCAGTTGACTAGGTTTTCTATTATCTTGATTTTTAGGTTTCTTATGTTGAACCTTAGATGATTGTCTAGGTGGTGGCTCAACATTATCTTTAGCTTTATTTTTGTCAAAACCTATTCCTTCCTTAGAAAAATGCATAGTGTCAAGAAGTAGATTTAAGTCTTTGTGAGGAGTATTAAATTTCTTGACCGTGCTCTCAAGTTTAGCGACTTGCTCTTTTAAAGTTTTACAAGACCCACATTCACTTGATGAGCTTTCTGGTTTGTTAGCGCTTCTTTTTCCAAAAAAAATTGTTTTCTTGTTTAAGTATTTCATTTTCTTTTACCAATTTTTCAAAATCGTTTTCAAGTGAGGAAAGACGTTTCTTCAAAGATTCATTTGTTTTAGAAGCGCTAAAAAATTCCTCATAAAGTTCATGAAGTGCTTCTTGCATTTCTTCAAAAGTATAGGAGTCGGAAGAAATGGTACATACCTCTTCGACGTCGTCGTTTTGATCTTCGTGCGCCATGAGGCAGAGATTTGCAGCTTCGTCCTCCTCTTGGTCGGTTGATTCGTCTCCGGAATCGCCACCCCAAGAGATGTAAGCCCTTTGCTTCTTGAAGCCGGGCTTGTCCTTGCCGTGTTTGGCTTTTGGACACCTTGGCTTGATGTGGCATATCTCGCCACAGCCGTAGCACTTGGGAGGACCGTCGTGCTTCCTTCCCTTCCACTCAAATTCCTTCTTCATAAACTTGTTGAACTTCTTGATGACAAGCCAAAATTCGTTGTCGTCATCGCTTGAAACCTCCTCTACGGTCTCCTTGGTTGCTTTGAGCGCTATTCCTTTCTTCTTTTGTTCATCCAAAGACGGGGTTAGAATAGTATATTCGTAAGTTTTGAGGTTACCTCTTAGCCCGTCGATGGTGACATTGGAGACTCCGATGGACTCGTAGATTGCATCGGCTTTTGACCTCCATTCGGGTGTGAGACTTCGCAGGATTTTCCTCACGAGATCCTTGTTGGCGTAAGTCTTTTTGAGAGCATGAAGGTCGTTGATGATCTTTGAGAACCGGTCGAACATGTCATCGATTTTCTCACCTTCTTTCATTCGGAACATTTCGTATTCTTGAGTGAGAAAATCGATCTTGGCTACACGAACTTGATCAGCACCTTCGTACGTCACTTCAAGCTTGTTCCACATCTCCTTGGCGGTTGTGCAGCAGGAGATTTTCCGGTAGTCATCGAGGTTGACCGCACAATACAGCATATTGATGGCCTTTGCATAATTCTCAATCTTCTTGATGTCCTCGGCATCAAACTCATCTTCGGTCTTGGGGATCAACTTGTCGTCAACTTTCTTCATCGGGATTTCCTCTCCGTTTTTGATGACCAACCATAATTGGAAGTTGGTGGAACGGATATATATTCTCATCCGTTCCTTCCAATAGGAATAGTTGGTGCCGTCAAAGAGTGGGGGCAAAGAAGTTGATTGACCTTTTCCAATTCCTGCATAGAGATTTCTAGAAGAAGAACCCATGATCGCTTTACTCTCAAACGGTTAAGTTTGGACGCGAGTTAGGCTCCGATACCAATTGTTAGAATAATAGACCAACGCTTGAGGGGGGGTTAATAGCGTTTGATCAAGAAATCGCAGGAATAAAACATGAATAAACGAGAAGTAAAGAGAAGAGTAAGAGGCACACCGATTTTACCCTGGTTCACCACAACTTGTGGCTAATCTAGCCTCCCGAGAGACTCTCTCGAGCTACACTACTATCTCGTTAAGCTTAACGGTGCTTAACAAACCCGTACAACTTGAGAGTTCGAGTCACACAAAGCTCAACGAACCTTCGAAGGAAACAACCCTTCCTTCGAACAACAAGAGAAATAATTACTTGTCAAGTGTCTAAGAACACTAAACTCACTCAAGAACAATACTCTCTTTTAGAGTGGATACTGAGTAACTAAGAACGCTCAAGAACACAACACAAGCTTCACAAAAATGGCTCTCAAAAAGCTATGAATAAAGGATGAATGATTTGCAATGAAGGAGTAGAGATTGTGAAGTAATGTGATCATGTAAAACAGACCCAAACACCCCATTTTATAGTGGAAAAATAGGCTCCAACGGATCAAAACATTTAAGGGGTGATTGGCACAATTTGTGGGATTTGATTAAATTTGGATTTGCTGAAATTCACCCAGACAGCGCTGTCCTAGGCTTGGACATCGCTATTCTAGGCTTGCGTTTTGAAAATTGGGAAGCAATGGTCATGCCAACAGCGATGTCCAATACTCCTACATCGCTGTTTTGGCTGTTGACTTCCAAACAAGGAAAGTTTTAGCCTTAAATCCCTTCCAACGGTCAGGTCCTTGCATCGATGTTCAATACTTGAACATCACTGTTTAGGTCTGACTTTGAAGGTGGTGTTTTGGCCTGACAGCGCTGCTGCTGGTTCAACATCGCTGTCCAAAAACTTTCTGCCAATGCACTATATTTTTGGCTTAGGTTGGAAAGCGTTGTAGGGAAGGCTACATCGATGTTCCAGATGTTTCTCGAAACCCAACCTTGGCTCAACAGCGATGTCTAATATGCAACATCGCTGTTGGAAGACATAACGCCAAACCATGGTTTTCAGCTACCCAAGCCAGACAGCGCTGTTGGTTGCACCAACATCGCTGTTGGGCTGGTTTAGCCAGACCCATGGTTGGTTTAGTCATGCCGTTAGCCGATGTCAAAAACGTAAGTTCTCCAAAATAAAAACCAAGTGTTGAAAACATTTGTTTATTGCATTTTGCTAAGAAATCAAGTCAAACAACTCAAAAACCACGTCATTTAGTTGAAAACCACGGCTAACCAAGTTTGTGTCGTTTTGCATGGTTTTCACTAAACGACCAAAAACGGAAGGTGGTTTTTGAAGCGTTTTTGTTGGAGAACTATTTAAATATGCCCAGAAGTAAAAACCAATCATAAAAAGTTGAAAACCACTTGGTTGGTTTGGATGCCAAAAACCAATGCCGAAAACCCAAAGCCGAACGCCGGTTTCTGAAAGCCGAACACCGGATGACTTGGTTTTTGGTTTAGGCGAACTCCAAGTGTTTTTAGGCATGTTTAAAACTTAAGAAAAACATTTTTGAATATGCAAAAAACATTTTGATGAACAGAGCCTAGAGAGCCAATGTTTGAAAGTTTGTGCCGGTCTTGATCACATTAAGACCGACTCAATACAATTCTAAGTCTTCGTTCTAGGTTCTTGGTTCTCAAATCATCATGCCATGTTCCTTCGCCTTGGTTTTTCTCACTTTAACCTTGTTATGTCACGGCGGTTTGGCATTATCAAAACCTGTCATAAAACGAACACGGTTTAGTATGACGTAGACGTAAACCCGTGTTCCAACAGAATTAAATCTAGTGGTTGAGTGGTTCGTTCAATTGTTTGAAACGAACTTCGTGTTGACTTTGCTTCGACACATGTCTCACATTTGTGGGACATGTCGATGTCAAACTTAGGGATATATTCCATGTTAACTAATTTCCGAAGAGATGCATAATTAACATGTCCTAGTCTGCCATGCCACACATTGGAAGACTCACAAACATAGGAAACAGGAGTTTTATTAACTTTCTCAATGACAGTGAGTACATTAAGCTTAAAAAGCCCATCAGAAATATAACCTTTGCCTATGAATATTCCCTTTTTGCTCAAGATCAGCTTATCAGACTCGAACACCATGCGGAATCCATGTTTGTTCAATAGTGAGCCTGACACCAAGTTTTTCCGTATGTCCGGCACATACAACACATCATTCAGCGTGAGCTCCTTGCCGGATGTCATCTTGAGCTTAGTAATGCCACAATTGTAGCATTTTCCCCGCGAACTTGGTCTTCGCGACGCCTCCTTTAGGACCAATTTTCTTATTGTCCTTATTTGGCTTGGGCCCTTTGGAAGAACCCTCTTTGGGTGGATGCTCCACCACATGGCCTTAGCAACAGCTACTTTCTTCTCGCGAGTGAGACCCTCTTCACGGATTCGGAGACGAACAAGCAACTGTTCTAAAGTCATTTCTTTCCGTTTGAGCTTGAGATAGCTCCGGAACTCATCCCAAGCCGGCAGGAGCACATAAATAATCTCCGCCACTTGGAATGCCTCACTGACTCCCATTCCCTCGTTAGTGCACTCATTAAAAATGAGGATCAATTCTTCAGCTTGACTGACCACAGGTTTGGAATCCACCATCTTAAAATCCAAAACCTTACCGACAATGAATTTCTTCGCACCGGCGTCCTCGGCCTGATATTTGTTGGACAGTGTAGTCCATAACTCCTTTGCGGATGCAGCCCTGCTATAAACAGCATATAAGGCATCGCTCAAGCAATTCAGGATAAGGTTAAGGCACGTATAGTTATTCGCTATCCATGCCTCTTTAGCCTGAACCGTTGGCTCGTCCGCGTTCTCCCCCACAACAGGGGGATCCTCCCTCAAGTACCTCGCAAGGTTGAGGGTGGTCAGCCAAAATAACATCCTTTGCTGCCATATTTTAAAGTCAACACCTGTGAACTTTGTCGGTTCTTTAACAGAGTTCGCAGGCAACATGACAGTAGAATGTCCGACCGGTGTGGATGTGAAGACACCCGTGTTCGGTCCAAGTGAGGGAATGACCGGTATGGTCGAAACCATATTCGGTCCGAGTGGGGTGACCATTGCGGCCGCAACCGCGGTTGGTCCAATAACCAAGGTGACCGGAGCGTACCCCATAGTCGCGCTCGATCCAACGAAGGTGGTGATCGGAGTGGACCCCATGGCCGCACTCGATCCGAAAGGAATGTTGATCAGAGTGGTCTGCCCAACAGAGCCACCCAATCCAGCCGAAACGTTCACAACCGGAGTCTCGGAACTACTCCAGTTTCTAGTGTGAGCGTCAAAACCGAATCCGTCCATACCCGCCATCGTGCACGGATATGACTACTGCCTTAAGATTGTTACAGTTCTCGTACGGATTACAACGGACGGGGAAGTTGAACGGCCCTGGAAATAAAAAATAAATAAATTCTGAATTTATAATTTATTCAGAATATTACAAAATAAACAAAGTTGGAAAATAAATTTCTATATCTTCAAACGGCCTTGTTGTATGAGGACATTAAGCACTAGACAGCGAGGACATTAAGCACTGGACAGCAATTCAAGGACGTTATGCACAGGGTTGCGAGGACATTATGCACTGGGCTACAAGGACATTACGCACTAGGACAGAATTCAGCGAGGTCTTTATGAACTAGTCCTGCAAAGAAAACACCACGGAAGGACAGCGGAGTCGCCGGAGCTGTCCTTAAGGTAGTAGTGCCCACCTACCGTACCGGAAAACGTGGGCACTTTCCTCCCAGGATAAAACTGCTATCGTGTGTGGAGATTGTACGGACCAACCACACACCAACGAACAAGAACAACGTAGGAACGTTGGCGACCAAAAAAAACTTTGAAGGGAATTGCCGGAAAGTTGGCCGGAAAATCAAGAGCTCTCACTCAAAAAAAACAAGAAAGTATTTCCCTTTCTTTTTCTTCCTTTCTCACGCAAGAAGCACAAAGAAAATGGAGAGGAGCTTTGATTTTTATAACTAAGGAGTTTAAAAAGTGTAACTCCTACAACATTAACCCTTAGTATTAATAATGCATTTGTGGCATACTAATGGTGTGTTAATGGTGATTAATTAGTCATTAACACGTCCGTTACGCTATGCTCCGTTTAAAATTTGTCCCGAATAATTAGAGATTAATGGCCAGTTAACTCCGTAAAAATGGACTAATTTTAAACAATACGTAAAATTAATAAAAGAAGATTGGTTCAGTAAAATTGCAAAAATTGCAATCCTTACCATATTCTTTTATTAACGGGTTAACTCTGAGAATCAATTTCTCATTCACCCTCTACCATTTTTGGTGTATAAATTGTCAAAACATTTATCTCATTTAAGAGAACACACGTCCATTAATTAACGGTTAAAACCGTTAGTGGACCTATTGACAAATATACCCAAGTTGGTCCATTTAATGCCTATTAAAATTGCCAAAAATTCCAACATGCACAGGAGCCTTTTCATCAAAACAGAAAACGAGGGGGGCACAGGATTGGTATCATCTATATATCCATAAAGAAGATAAGCAACGAGATTTACAAGAACTATGGCAGACCACAAGGGATAATTAATATCATCAAGTTCGATAGCTGGGGTAAGAGATTGGAGATTGCGGACAAAGAGCTTGAGACTAGTAGGGAGGTAGTCCATCAGATCAACCGAGGAAGGTGCCACGACAATCGGTTGAAGGAAGAAACCTTAGAGCCGTGGATTTTTTTTCAAGATTAGAGAAGCCAATCAAGAGAGGGATCAGGCTCCAATACCATTTTGAATATTCAATCATGAGTTTTATTTACTCAAGGAATAATGAGAGTACATGGTGGTATCTGTAGATGGAGATCCTGACATGAATTACGATTCTTCCAATACAGTAGTTGCCTAATATACTAATACTACCATAAATACAAATATTACTCTAACTGTCTAACACAGGCCGGACCAATACTCAAAAGGGGGCCCTAAGGGAGTTCCATGGAAGGAATAAGCTATCATTCTGTCGGCCCAGTGCTTGCGCACAACCCAATTCAGAAGCAAGCACGGTGGGCCTCTGGGCTGGCTCAACTACACACAAGGAAGGGGTCTTCCATGTTTTACGTGATTGATCGCGTCCGACCACTGATAAAGAGGGATGACTTGGCCGAGGGTTGTCGATGGCGGAGGAAGACCAGGCGATGATTGAATGTACCATGTTTAGCACTTCCGTGTATAATCTTCCATATACAACTATAAATAGAGGTGGAATGTCATTGTAAATCTAAAGCTAAATACAACTAATACACTTGTACTCCATTGTTGGTCTCTCAAGCTCGCTCTATTTTAGATTTGTTATTCCTTTAGTTTGTAATTCAATCCGGCCCCTCAAATCGGATCCTTGGTGGAAAGCATCCACCACGAGATGCAACGACGAGGCTAGGGTTTCGAAGGCCCTCCATTATATTACTGCAGCGTCCAAACATTGTTCCCAAGGAGAGGTATATATAGTGAATTAACCTAGGGGTACACCAAGCCAACACAGACACACACAGACATTTTATGTCTGTGTGTGTCTGTGTTGGCTTGGTGTACACATGAGGTACCCGGTGTACCCCTAGCATTGCCCACATATAGTCGATGTACCAATAGAAGGACACAGTCGTACGTTGTACCGTATAAATTGAGAGCAAACTACAAGTCCACATGGCAAACAACACTTGAGATGCACAGTAGTGAAATGAAAAGCCCTAGTTACGTTCTCTCAACAATTCTTCTCTTTAAATTTATTTTTACTGTGGAAGTGCAAAGACAGCAAGAAAGCATGCATGGTAAGAAGCAACGGATAATGCACGCACAACCCCAACATGATGATATATATATGCCTCGGGAAGGAGCAAAAATAATACTCTCACTATTCAATATAATACGTCCCATCTATATTTCAATTCTCTAATGATTATTTATCATCACCCCACGGACTCTACTAATTTACCCAAAAATTTGTACCCCATCAAAACTATGTATCAATATTTTAATGGTTCACACTAACATAAAGTATTGGTGTGTTAATAAAAATTTACACTGACACAAAGTGTTGGTGCGTTAAAAAAAATTAACATTACTCCAACACAAAATGTTGGTACATCCATGTGGTGTACAAAATGGGGTACAAATAGCATTATCCTAATTAATTACTCCAATACAATGTACTCCCTCCATCCTGAAAAACATGAGAGTTTTGATTTTGAACAGGGATTTAAGGGGAGTGTATTTTGGTATTGAATTTCCAAAAATGTCCCTTGATGTGATTGATAAAAGTATGATTTGATAGAAAAATTATTAGTAAAAAGGTATGATGTGATAGATAGGGTATGAAAAAGTAAGGGGTAAAAATAATTTTTTAATTGAAATAAGAAGTATTTTTTGGGACGGATGAAAAAAGAAAGGAAAAAGGTTTTAAGGGAGGGAGGTAGTATGTCGTAAGCCGTAACACTCACCATTTTTTTTATTGTACAATAACACTCAAAATTGCCCCTTTTACTCTATTTGAACGAAAAATCTACAAGAAAATTCAGAAAAGAGGGGCCGGGGAGAAATGTCCCATAAACAACATGGAATTGGGAATGAAAAAGTAGCAAATCATAGAGGGGGAGATGATGATGCATCGTCAATTGTGGAGTTGAGTTTAGGGCTAGGGGTAATTGGGTCATCTTCCAGCTCTCCACCATCGTCTCCCCCATTTTGGCACCAGCAACAAGTGAAGAAGAAAAAGAAGAATGAAGAAGAAGAAGTAGGGTTGGGGCTGAGATTAGGGTTATTAGGGCTATTAAGATGTGAGAAGAATGGGAAGGGAGTGGTGGAGGCGGAAGCGCCGCCGGCCAGGAATAGCGGCGGCGCTTTTATGAATTGGGCATGTAGTAGTGGAGGCCGCCATCCCTTTACCTTTCATGATCATCATCTAAGCATGCCGAAATCGCCATCATTATCGTGGTCATCACTCCCCCATTTCCATCATTGCCTTCAAGGACCTCACCAACCGCCGCCCGGTTTGTGGCTCACTCTTCGCCCCTCATTCAACCGGTAATGTTTTGTACTCTATCATGTTCTAATTCCTCCTCCCATTAATTTTTAATTGCCTCTTTCATTTTGCCTGCCAAATAATTGACTAATTATATATAAAAATATATACTCCGTAATAAATTAAAATACATGAAATAAAAATTATATTCCCTTTTTCTCAAAAAAATTTACACCCTTCACTTTTCAAAAGTCACAAAATATTTTGTTTATTTCTGTGTTTTGAAAGATTATTTGAAAATATAAAATTTTTTTGTCATATCTTATTCTGTGGAATTTTTGACGTAATTTTTTGAAATTGTAAGTTTATTTTTTTTATTTCTATATCAATCTTTAAATAAAAATGAATTTTAAAAAATAATTGAAAGATTATTTGAAAATAATTGTTTATTTTTTTTAATTTCTTTTATTTCTATATCAATCTTTTCATTTTGCGTGAAATATAAAATATTTTGTGAGAATGGGAATAAAATACGTATAGATACATAACAGAGTTAAAAAAAATGGAGAAATTTTAGAGCGACTACATAGGTATTATGGGACCAAATACTTTTTAGAAATTCGGTTTTTGAGATAAGTTCATTGAGACTATTCTAATTATATTGGAAATAACATACGGATCGGAGTAGAAAATTTTGTAAATAAAAAAAATTACCTTTTAGTTTTTTTAAACACAGCTTAATTATATGTTTAATTACCAGTACTTTCTTTCAATTGACCGCCTCAAACTACTTTTTTCGTAGATTTTAATTTTTGATCGATTTTGGTGGACCTAAGAATTTGTCTGTCCTCAAATTAGTCACATACTATTTTAATCAAGAAAAGTTTGTAATTTTTTTTAAAATTGCATTTAAATAAGTGTTACATTTACTATTTTCATGTTTTTCCTATTTCTACTCCGTATTTTGTTACTCCGTACTATACTTTATTTTTTACTCCGTATTTTCTTTTGTAATTAATTCAAAACGTCTATTTCAGATATTTATGTAGCTGCTATTTTATCATGACTATGACAATAATATGTAGAAATCATTGTTTTTTCCTTTTTGTTTTATACTCCCTCCGTCCTGTGAAACATGAGACATTTGCTTTTTAGGAGGGATTTAAGGAGTGTATTTTGGTATTGAATTTCCAAAAATGTCATTTGATGTGATGGGTAAAAGTATGATTTAATGGATAGATTATTAGTAAAAAGGTATGATGTGATAGTTAGAGTATGAAAACGCAAGGGGTAAAAGTGACTTTTTAATAGAAATGAGAAGTGTTTTGTGGGA